AAAAAAAAAAAAGAAAACGAAAATGCCTCCAGACTTTTGACATTTTTTTTTTTCCTTTTCTAATATAAACAAACGAAGGCATTTCCGTGTGTGCGTGTTTCTTCTACTTTCTAATCATCTCGTGGGTCTTTTGCGCTTTTTTTAGGTTATTCTTTTTTTTTTTTTTTTCAAAATGATAGATTTTATAAACTCAAAAAGATTGTACATGCGGGAATACAGTTGCTACTAAGCAGAATGGAGAGTCACTAACGATAGTGATCTAGCTAAAGATAAAAAAAACAGCCGTCTTAAGAGTATTGGGTCGGCATAGACTGAGGCTATAACTTCCGATCCTTTCTCTTATGATGTTGGTCTAAGAAATATTACCTATACAAAAGATAGGCTACCACTGAACTAGAGAACCTAGCAGCACTATCACTAAAAACAGGGACAAGAAAAATAACCAAGATCAAAGGTCCAAAACAAAGAAACCAACATAAACAAAACCAGAAAGGCCATTAGCAAGAGGAGAATTCAGTCCAGGAGACCATCGCCGATTGGGCAATGAAGAACTCAGCCAGCCAAAAATTTTGGAAGACCCACAAGTTCCGGGCCTTCCAAATCCACCAGAGAACAAACACCGAGAGATCGATTTTTGTGGCTAGATTTGAAGTGTGCCTGTAACTGCAAGTCTCTATCCACCACTGCCTGAAACTGAAGGATTCACTTGTAGTATTGTCCTACGAGACAGCTGCCAGCTTCCAAACCGTTTTAGCCCTCGTGCAATGGAAGAAAGTGTGTTCAAGAGATTCAATATCCTCACCACATGATTGACAGATTGGATCAATGTGCTTTAGTCTGAGATTGAGCAACTGCTTTACTGGAAGTGTGTTGGTGAAGCATTTCCACAAAAAATGCTTAAGCTTCCCTGGAGTCTTGATGGTCCAAATTTTTTTCCTGACTGTTGAGCTATTCAGAGATGATAGACTACTCTCAGGTAAATCAAGCTTGTGCCATTTATCCTCAACAAGTCTGTTGTATGCTGAAGCCACTGAGAAGATGCCAGATTTTCCAAAATTCCAGGTCAGCAAGTCCCTGCTTAGAGGGTCCAGGTTTTTGATAGCTAAGATGGCTTGACACTCCGAGGGAGGAAATATGTGCTTAACCAGCTCCACATTCCAGTTTCTTCCTGTGGAGTCCATCAACTCACTTACCTTAGTAATTTCTTGTTTCCAGGGGTTCTGTGGATCAGGCCTTAGAGTTTTTAGATCAGAAACCCATGGATGGTCCCATATGTGTACATCTTTCCCATTTCGGATTTGGTATTTGACATTCTGGGAGAAGGAGGGTAAGACCTTCAACCAGCTCGACCAAAGCCAAGATCCATTTGTCATCTTTTTAGCAGCTAGAATGTGGGTTTTGGGATAATATTTTGCTTTCATGACTTTGCTTACCATGAGGTTGGGGTGGGTGCACATTCTCCATAGCTGTTTGGCAATAAGTGCTTTGTTCATGAGGTGTATATCTTAGAATCCCAATCCACCTTTCTCTTTGGGCAGTGTTATGGTGTCCCAGCTTTTCCAGTGAATTGATTGTGAACCATCCTTTTTATTGTTCCACCAAAAGTGGGCAAATATTTTGGCAATGTTAGCACATGTGCCTTTGGGGAGGAGAAAGATTGACATTGCATACAAAGGAAGAGCCTCCAGCACAGCCTTTAGGAGGATTTCTTTACCTGCAAATGAAAGGAATCTCGATTTCCAGTTGGTTAGCCTTGACTTGACAGTCGTTTCAATGTAAGAGAAAGTGTCTAATTTAGATTTTCCAATGCCTAAGGGTAATCCGAGATATTTAGAGGAGGTTTGAGGTTGGATACCAATAAGGATTTGGCAGATTTGGTCTTTGCAGGATTAGGGGGGGTGTTTTTGCTGAAAAAAATGGAAGATTTTTGAAGGTTAACACATTGTCCGGTAATAGCATTATAGTGGCTCAGAATCTGCAGAATGGTTTGGGCTTGGTGAGGGTCGGCTTTGGTGAACAGAAGAGTGTCATCGACAAAAAGGATGTGAGTGATTTTTGGGTTGTTCCTGCAAATTTTTAGACCTTTGAAGTGGCCAGCAGCAGTAAAATTGTTAATAATGTGGGATAAGATTTCAGAGACAAGGATGAAGATGTAAGGGGATAGAGGATCCCCTTGTTGAATGCCTCGGGAGGGAACAACATATCCACAGACGGAGCCATTTACATTAAAGGAAAAAGCAGCTGAGCTAAGGCATGCTAGAATCCATTTAATAAAAGTAGAGTGGAAACCAAGTTTATTCATGATGAGTCTGATACTATTCCATTCTACTCTATCAAATGCTTTAGACATGTCGAGCTTGATTGCCATATAGTAGGATTTCCCTGATCTGTGTCGGTTGAGGAAGTGCAGGACCTCTTGGGCTAGAATGACATTATCAAGGATTTTTCTGTTAGAGATAAATGCAGATTGGCAGTCACTGATGCAATGAGAGAGATGGGGTTTGAGTCTATTGGCTATGATTTTTGAAATGACTTTATAAGTAACACCGCAGAGGCTAATTGTAACACCCCGCTCATCAGAGTCAATTTTTCGCAACTTATTTCGAAACATACTTATAACTTTTTCGAAATATTCTTAACTCGGAATGCTACTAAAACTTAACTTCTTTGAAAATCTGTTTTCTTAAACTCGATAAAACAGATTTAACATATTGAACAAGTGTGAAACTAAACTCGTTTATAATAATAAACAGAAACTTTACTTAATTATCAAACTTCAAATCACACAAGTTCAAACTTAATATACATAGCGGAAGTCTTTAAGCGTGACATTTACAAACCGATGCCTTATTGAATTTCACAATCAAACTTTAATAAACTCACAACTGAATGCACAACTGAATGCACAACCGACACCACAACAGCTTGACTCACACCCTCGGCCCGACCTTGTTACCTGAAAATGATAATAGTGGGACGTGAGTACTAATCAACTGTACTCCGTAAAAAGTCATATTAAAGTAAACATTAATAATAATATCAATATCATGATCACAGGTATATATAAGCTTCTCCCAAACATTGGTCCGGTAACTTTAACTGAACTTTGCAACTACCGTACTGCCGGTTCTCACGTGATCACATATTGGGGGCTGCCTCCCCAAAACTCAGTCTGGACTGGGCGAGTCTTTAACTTACTTAGGATGGCTTATTAAGGCTATTGCGCCTCCACCCTAAGCATAACCTTAACTCATATACATACCTTTGAACATGATCTAGCTATTATACTCAATGTAATACCCAGTCTGGGTTCCCACCTTTCGTCTTGAAACTGTTTTGAAAATTGAAAGTGTTGTTCTTGTAGCCGAACTTCTCACGCTACATAAAAATATAAGCAAGAATACTAAGTACTATGCTCGAATAATCTTTAACTGATAACACCATAGCTCAAATATCATAATTCATTGAATAAATCAAACTCTTGATGAACTTCCTCCAAAGATAAAACTCAACTCATATAAATCATGCCTTATTACTTAGATGTTGGCTTTCAAAACTTGTAAGTGAAATAACTCAAACTCACATACATAACTCAACATATTCAACTTACCAACATCAAACTTAACTCATGATTTATAACAATTAAACTTGCTCATCCTTATAACTCAATCATAACATTAAATTATGATATTAACATGTTTACTCAACATGTTAAAGCTAAACTTGCACAATTTATGAAATTGTATGCTTATCAATATTTTGATGCTAAACTTATCAATTTACTCATCATCAAATGTGAAACTCATACTCTTACACTTAACATGAATAACACATCATATTAAGCTATCAACTTATAACTTTATCAACTTCTCATCATGATAACTCATATCAATAACATGAAGTGGATACTATTATGTCAACATAAATTAAATCATTACTCAACTTATAACTCATGCATGATATCAAATACTTAAATTCTAACAAGAATCACTTATACTAATCATGCTTTGCTAATAACATCAAATACAAGCATGAATTACCTCCTTCAAGGACTTGAAATTTGAAAGACTTGATATGAACTTGAATATGAACTTGAATATCTTGAAAATCCTTTACTCCAAAATACTTCTCCTCACTTAAACTCTCAATATAACTTTGATACTTTACTTTGGTGTAAAAGTCTGATTTTTGAAGCCTCTATTTATAGCCAAAACTTTGGAATAAAATATTTGGAGTATAGAAATTAACAAATTAAACAATTTAAACTTGTAAAAATTAATCACTTAAACAAGTCCTTCCCAAACATTTCAAATTTTCAGCTAAGCATATTTAATTGCTCAAAATACACTTTAGTTGGCATCAAACTCGAATCATAAAAATCTGAAATTTTGACGGTCACACGACCAGTGTCACTAGTCACACGACCCGTGTGACGCCACACGACCCGTGTCACTTGAGTCACACGACCCGTGTGAAAAAACCGAAGCTAAACTTGAATAGTGCCTTGAGCCACACGACCCATGTGGCTTGTCACACGACCAGTGTGACTTCACACGACCAGTGTGGCTACCCACACGACCCGTGTGACTTTAAAACTTTAAAATTTTAACTTTTTAAGCCTCAAAATAGCTCAATCTTGGAAATAAACTGATACTTATTACTAATAACTGAATGGGATATTACATTCTACCCCCCTTAAAACTATTTCCGTCCTCGGAAATACTGAAACTGGGATATATATTATCTGAGTATATATCAAAAACTTTAAAATCTAAAACTCTAACATCAGTTTATCCCTCCTAAATGGCATCTTATTCTCTGTGGCAATTCCATTTTATACAAACGAGGGGAATATCTCGATTCCTTAGACAATGAACCTTTTGGTCTAAAACTGATACCGACTATT